GATCTCCTCCATGTCACCCTCGGACGTCCCACTCACCGCTTCCCTTTCGAGTTCCACTCGAGCGCTGGCCTGACGTGCGATGTCACCCAGCGGCCTCCTCAGCGAGTGTCCGATCCATCTCCACTTTCTCCTGCATATTTGTTGGGCGATTGGTTCTTGTTTTGTTTGTTCCCATAGTTTCTTGTTGGTGATTCTTTCCGGCCGGCCATCTGATCTTCAGTATAGAACGAAGACTGCTGTTGATAAAGGTGTGCAACAGGCTGTTGGAAATATTCTTTGTGACACACTGGCCAAGTTTCTGATCCGTATAGAAGAACTGACTGACTTGACGTTTGTATTGAAAATCCGAATTTTGTTGTTGATGCAGGCTGAGTGATGAAGATTTCCAGATTGGTTTCAGGTTGATGAATGTGTTTCTCGCCTTCCCGATTCTCGATTTGACATCCTCGTCCGTTCCTCCTGTAGTTGAGACAATGCTCCCTAGATAAGTGAATGAAGTAACCTCTTTCAAATCCCTCCCGTTGATGGTGATTGGCGCTGGATGTTACTGCTGTTGTTGTTGTTGTTGTTGGTTGTTTATTTTCATAACCTCCATCTTGTCTATGTTCACCTGTAGTCCTGTCTTCCCTGGCTGCTTCTTCGACCAGATTGTCGGTTTTTGCTTGTAAGTCTTCGATTTTGTGTGACATCTCAGTGGCTCAATGGTCTACGAGCTCACCTTGTAACCAGAAGGTCCTGGGTGCGAACCCCTGTGGGTGCGTACTGATGAGGATTCCCAAACCAGGATGAAACAGCTGTCCAGTACTCCCAGGTTTTCCAGTGGTTCTCTAACTGATATCAGCTCATGATGAAATCCTCCAACCAATCAAACAAACAAAAATCCCTACAAAACCAATACTTGAAAACATCAAACATAAGTCATCCACGAAATCCAGGCCTTCTGGGTTCTTCACATGTTACATAAGGCTTAAATAATTAAGCTGAATTGAGGGTAAAAATTAGTCCGGTCAAGAGTAGAATAGATAGGTAAAGACAAAATTAAGGAAAGAAGTCATCAATAGATAAAACTGTTCAGTTCTACTCCAGTTTTTGCGAAAGCCACTGCCATCAAATACTTTAAACCTATTTTATCTGTTCAGAGAGAAGTAGATATCAGTCATTCCTTGCCCTGGTAACTAGATGTCTTCATTCACTTCTGACTTTTCGCTTGATTATGTAATCTTTTGTTTTCATCGCTTCGCCTTTCGCTAGAGATTAATTTCACTTATCTTTTGTCTTTATGATTTCAGTTGAAATCACTGCTTTGTTGCGAAACTTATTGGCTAATTATTTTCTTATCCGCCTTTTGTTTTTACTACGCAGCTCCTTTCCGATTACATCCAAACATTTGCCATTTTAGTTTTTATATCGTACGTCGGTGGCATGGCGGTAAGGACGCTCGCCGACCATGCACATGGTCCGGGGTTCGATTCCCGGCCAGCGCACTCCTTTACCTGGCTAAGCCAGAATTAAAGCTGGTGAAGAGGAAAGGTTGGGCATGAGGTTAGCAACCCCATCCTGTAAAAAACAAACCCTGCTACAGAAACTTCAAGCTAGATGCTTGAAGCCCTATGTTCCCCTGGGAACGTGAAGGAATATAAAAAAAACTTCAGCCTTACGCGTATAAGTTAAAAAAATGTGGAAGTTGAGTCTCCAGTTCACCTAATTCTGGTGAACAGACAGCTATATGTTGCACCAACAAGAGGAATCTAGAAGTTCTGGATTCCACGGACAATTTATGTGTAATGTCGCATAAATTCGCAAACTTACAGGCGGAAATCAACAAACTGACAGAAAAGAAAGACAGCTAAGATGGGACTTCAAGTAAACATAGAAAAGATCAAGGTGATGAAGATACTCGACAACCAAGAACAACAAGCACTAATCACTATCAGTGGAATAAATTTGAGAGAGGTGAATTCCTTCACTTGTCTAGGAAGCATCGTTTCAACTACAGGTGGGTCGGATGAAGATGTCAGATATCCAGTCAGCATTAGCAAGACAAGATACACCTTCATCAATCTGAAATCAAGTGTTGGTTTGTAGGGATTTGATTGGTTACAGGATTTTCATCATGAGCTGACATTAGTTAGAGAACCATTGGAAAACCAACTGGGAGTACTGGACAGCTGTTTCGTCCTAGTTTGGGACTCTTCACAGTACGCACCCACCGGGATTCGAACCCAGGACCTTCTGGTATACGAGCTCGCCTTGTAACCAGAAGGTCCTGGGTTCGAATCCCTGTGGGTGGGTGCGTACTGCTGAAGAGTCCCAAACTAGGACGAAACAGCTGTCCAGTACTCCCAGTTGGTTTTCCAATGGTTCTCTAACTAATGTCAGCTCATTATGAAAATCCTGTAACCAAACAAATCCCTACAAACCAACACTTGATTTCAGATTGATGAAGGTGTATCTTGTCTTGTTAATGCTGACTGGATATCTGACATCTTCATCCGACCCACCTGTAGTTGAAACGATGCTTCCTAGACAAGTGAAGGAATTCACCTCTCTCAAATTTATTCCTTTGATAGTGATTAGTTCTTGTTGTTCTTGGTTGTCGAGTATGTTCATCACCTTGATCTTTTCTATGTTTACTTGAAGTCCCATCTTAGCTGTCTTTCTTTTCTGTCAGTTTTTTGATTTCCACCTATAAGTTTGCGAATTTATGCGGCATTACACATAAATTTTCCGTGGAATCCAGAACTTCTAGATTCCTCTTGTTGGTGCAACATATAGCTGTCTGTTCACCAGAATTAGGTGAACTGGAGACTCAACTTCCACATTTTTTTAACTTATACGCGTAAGGCTGAAGTTTTTTTTATATTCCTTCACGTTCCCTAGACATGTGAAATAGTCACTCAGTATTTTGATTGGACACTAGTAACTAGTGTGACGTATCTAGTCCTTTCCTTGGTGCAGACTGAATTCTATCAGTCAGGTGTTTGCAATGTGGCCACCATTCTAGGTAGCTCACCATCGCGGTGCACATTGATTTGATATTAGATAGTTGGAGGCAATCGGCAGGACGCCTTGGACCTAGGTTTCGTGCTAGTTGGCACTCATCAGTAAGGTGTATCTCCAACCTTGAAGGAACTCATGTCCATGACACCTGACTGATGGAATTCACTCTGCACCAAAGAAGGACTAGATACGTCACACCAATTACTAGTGTTCAATCAAAATACCCACTACAATTCTACAGGAGGTCAATCGCGAGCCTGAATAGCTCAGTGGTAACGTCTCTGACTGCAGCACTGGGTGACGCGGGTTCGAATCTCAGAAGGGACATCAGTTCCTTCAAGGTTGCAGATACGCCTTGCTGAAGAGTGCCAACCAGCACGAAACCTAGGTCCAAGGCTTCCTGCCGATTGCCTCCAACTATCTAATATATTCACTCAGTGTTTAAAACCCCTCTTTCTAGCTGAGACTGATGACTGATTTCCAACTACTTAAATAGACCAACCAGTAGTATGTAGAGCGTTATCCCTTTAATCATCACTTTATTGTTTTCTCCTTTAGATGTGTTTGCTTACTATCTGTTAGCTTAATTCTTGAATGATTGAATTCCATAAAACTTCTAACTGGTTGTTACTTGTGGTTGAAATTATCCAGCAAGTATGTAGGCATTTTACACACTTTCCTATATGAATTGTATTTAAATTATAATTGAGGTAGTCTAGCCGCCAGTTCATTTACTAGCAGAACTTATATATGTCCAAACCAAGTTCACTTTTAACAATTTGAAAGAAATTTGGGCATTGGGTATATGATATTCATTACAATAAAGGTTTTCTTGTATTTCCCAATGAATGAAAAACAAAACGATATTGCTTTTACTGACGTTTCGTTATTTAATGCTAATAGCTTTATCAAAGTAGCATTATTAAACCAGAATTTACAAAATCCACTCAGCTTATATATAGAGAGCGGAGATGTCAGACGATATCAGAAGAGTACTCAATAAGCTTGACATCAGAGTTTTCTTCAAAACATCAGGCACACTGCGAAACAACCTTGTCCAAATAAAAGACCAAATTCCTAAACATCCTCCATCTAATTGTGTCCATGAAATAAAATGCTTGGAATGTGATGCGATATACATCGGACAAACATCGCGAGAAATCAAAATCAGAAGAAATGAACACCGTAGAGCATCTGTTCGACCACCGAGAAATCCAGCTGAACTAGAAAAGCCTGAAAAATCATCAGTCATAAGTCTACACGCTACAAAATCAGGCCACAAAATTGATTTTGACAATAGTGAATAATTCAAAAATTTCGGAAATCTCAGAGAACGTCTAATATCATCAGAAGCACTTCATATCAAATGGAATCCAAATTGTCTGAATAGGAATAATGGAGTAAAACAGAATTTGACCTGGTCACAACAGCCCCCTCCCCCATGAATTGACAAAATCAACACGAATGTGATAAGCAATTTCATTATGGAAACACACGCTGCTTTTGTATAATTTCACACACTTATCAAATCCAACAGTCTAAACCTACCTGGTTTTGTTATCTTTACCATTTGACCAACTTGACAACGCAAAAATGACTGCATGCTGATAAACAATGATTAAGTTGTTATATATAAGCTGAGATTTTATAAATTCTGGTTTAATAATGCTACTTTGATAAAGCTATTAGCATTAAATAGCGAAACGTCAGTAAAAGCAATATCGTTTTGTCTTTTTCATTCATTGGGAAATACAAAACAACCTTTATTATAATGATTATCAGAACTTATAATAAATACTCTTCAAAGTTTCTACTATGTTCCGTTGATTTTTCCATTCGTCTATTGTTGTCTTTTCATGACTCTCACACTATCTATCCACATTTCTATAGTCATTCATTTGTAAAATAAAATGAATATCATAAAACTTGGGTGAGTGGAAATCACTCATGCGTAGGTTTATGCTCAGTTTTTACTATTATTATTATTACTTTTTTTTCAGATACCTGAACAACACCAAGGTACATTGGATATGAAATTTTTCAAATACAATGCATCAGTTGCACGTTCACCAGCATTTATTAATCTACGTGAAGTATGTGGTCGGCATAGATTAGATCCTGGTCGTTATGCAATTGTTCCATCAACATTTCAACCAAATGAAGAAGCAGATTTTATTCTACGTATCTTTTCAGAGAAGCCAAGAACAACACAGTAAGTAATACTAGAATTCTATTTTCGTTACTTTACTCGTTATGCACTTAAATATATATATGTGGTTCAGTGGTAAAGTGCTTATCAACGATGAAAGCGGTCGGGGTTTGATCCTCGGCCGCTACACTCCTAAGCCTCTCCTAATCGGCATCAACCTTGGGAAAAAGGGAGAGGTTTGGAAGTTGGGCGTGAGACAGTACACTAACCCTACTCAAACTTCAAAGCCTCGGACCTGAACCCCTATGTTCCATTCGGAAAGCAAAGGAATAGGAAGACAGCGTGTCATTTTAGGCTAAATTTTGATTATTCTACAATGTGTGAATCTATGACTCTAGGCAAGTATTATTATTGTTCCCTTGGGTTCCTAGTGGAACATAGGGCTTCAACTGCACGTCTCCACTTGTTTCTGTCTTCTGCTGTACTTTTCACTTGCATCCATGTTAGTCCATACTGTTTCAACTCCTCTTCACACGATCTCCTCCATGTCACCCTTCGACGTCCCACTCGCTGCTTCCCTTTCGGGTTCCACTCGAGCCATGGCCTGACGCGCGATGTCACCCAGTGGCCTCCTCAGCGAGTGTCCAATCCATCTCCACTTTCTCCTGCATATTTGTTGAGCGATTGGTTCTTGTTTTGTTTGTTCCCATAGTTTCTTGTTGGTGATTCTTTCCGGCCGGCCATCTGATCTTCAGTATAGAGCGAAGACAGCTGTTGATAAAGGTCTGCAACAGGCTGTTGGAAATATTCTTTGTGACCCGCCAAAGAATATACGTGGTGTAATCTCTATGCAGGTTGAATTCAATATTTCTGGCCCTTTATTGATGTGAATTGGAATTTTGAGTCCTAATTTTCTCGTTTCATAAGATCATACATTCCTTCTGTTGCATAAGTATGACATCACGTCACTGATTGCAAATGGTATTATTACTATTTTTCTTTTGGGTTCCTAGTGGAACATTGGGCTTCAGAAGCATATCTCTTCTGCAGGATGTTTAGTCAGCTTTACCACTGTCCATAAGTTTTCATCTCCTCATCATGCAGTATCTTCTATGTCACCCTCGAATACACACTCAACTCATCCTTTCCATTTTGGGTTCCATTCGAGGTCTAGGTGTTTCACTCACTCAGTGGCCTCCTCAGCGTGCTTGATAGGCTCCCCTTTGATTTGCTGTCAGAGTACCTTGTCGCTTATTCTTTCCCGCCTGGAATCTTATCTTCAGTATTCAGCGAAAAAGGCATCTTTTGATGAAAGTCTTCAGTAGCCTACTGTAAATGATTTTCATGACTCGCAGTGCAAGATTCTGATCCATATAAAAAAACTAACTTCACAACAATGTTGAAAGTTTGGATCTTGCTTCTGATGCTAAGTTGTGTAGATTTCCACATAGATTTCAGATTGATGAAGGTTCGTCTTGTCTTTCCGATCCCGGCCTTGGCATCGTCATCTGTGTAGTTTTTAGCTGAAACTATGATTTCTAGGAGTGTGTCGGTGGCATAGCAGTTAGGACGCTCACCGACCATGCATATGGTCCGGGGTTCGATTCCCGGCCGACGCACTCCTTTACCTCGCTAAGCCAGAAATAATGCTGATGAAGAGGAAAGGTTGGGCATGAGGCTAGCAACCCCATCCTGTAAAATAAACACTGCTACCGAAACTTCAAGCCACTAGCTTGAAGCCCTATGTTCCACTGGGGAACGTGAAGGAAAAAAATGATTTCTAGGTAGGTGAAAGAAGTAACTTCTCGTATATCTCTGCTGTTAACAGTGATTGATGCCAGCTGATGTTGTCTTCATCACCTCTGTCTTTCTATGCTTTTCAAACCAACATGTTGGTTTCTGACTGTAGATCCATGAATGCGTGTAACTTCATATTTAAATCTTTCATACACTTGAAGCAAAATTAAAAGTAAACTCAAGAATGATTTAAAATGATGAAATAAACTGTCTTTTCACCACTACTCATTATATATAGAATGTTTTCCTCACCTTTTTTTCTTAAATAGAACTCCTCAATTAAGATATCGATCTAGGTTGAGAGTAGGGGAATGAAGTTATAGGTATATAGAGGGGTCTATGTGCATGTTTTGATTACTGGAGTACAAGAAAAACAATTCAATTGTTTATGTCTTGTATTCAGTTCTTCTGAATTTGTTTTGAACAAAGAAAAAGAAATGGAATGTAGAGAAAGACAGATAAAGAGAAGTAGGCGATGAATTCACCGCATATTATTAGCTGACTATGGAATCAACTTCCTATAACTTCCGATGAACACTAGTCAGGATACCTAGCTTCCATTGACAAAGGATTGATTTTTTTTATAGTATTCCTTTGTGTCGCGAGGATAACATACAGCGTTGACTTTTGAAGTTTCTTCTTTACCGTGCCTACTATCGGCTGAGTAAGGTTTAGGGGAACGTCAATCGGGGATCAAACCCTGGACCATATAAGTGCTTGGCGAGGATTCTACTATTTAACCACTGACCATATTGATTGACAGGAGATGGAATTCATGAGCTATTTGATTATGACCCAGTGGTTGCTTCATGAACTTTAGGTGGTTGGTACATTCCATAGTGCTGTAGTGAGCATGTACTGTTTTAAAGAGTCACAGGCCAGGACAAAGCAACAGATCAGTTTTTTTCCCTTCACGTTCCCCAGTGGAACATAGGGCTTCAAGCTAGAGGCTTGAAGTTTATGAAGCAGTGTTTATTTTACAGGATTGGCTTGCTAGCCTCATGCCCAACCTTTCCCCTTCACCAGCATTATTTCTGCGTTAGCGAGGTGAAGGAGTGCGTCGGCCGGGGATCGAACCCCGTACCATGTGCATGGTCGGCGAGCGTCCTAACCGCCATGCCACCGACGCCACCGACAGATCAGTTTTTAGTAGTAGTAGTTATCTAACTTATAACAACTTTGCAATGAAATTTACTCACAAATCATTTATGTTAATGGCTTTTTATCGTATAATAATAATAACTACCAATATGTATATCTCAGTCGGTAAGCAAAAGTAAGCCTTAAACGTATTAAGTCATTTTTGCATACCTATTGTAATTGTGTGCTGTAGTGGTTTCGCTTAACTAGTATTATTGCATGCAGTAATAGTTTAATTGACGGTTGAAAGGATTCCAATGCACTAAACAGACTGACTGATGTGCACATGCATTTCTAACAGCCGTGCATCAATCAGCTAAATAAAATCCAGTCTAGGGATTACATAACACTCATTATCATAAGTTCCATACATTTCAGTGGCAGAGTATAGGGAGCAAGAAGACAGGCATACATTAGATCAACAAAAAGAAACACCAGAAGATCTGGAATTCACTGATGACTTATGTTTAGTGTCATACAAACTTGAAGGTCTACAGGCGAAAACTGAGGAGTTGGCAGAAGAGGCAGACAGTTGAGACGAGACTTCAAGTGAATATAGAGAAGACATAGGTGGTGAAGACAGCCGATCATCAACAACACTAAGCACCAATCACCAACGACTCGAGAAACTAAGATGAAGTCACTTCTTTCACTTACGAAGGAAGTGTCGTTTCATTTACAAGCGACATAGATGAGGATGTGAAAGCCAGAAGTGAGAGGGCAAGATAGATATACGGACATACATATGAGGGACATCATGCGCAAGGCTCTCGAGTGGAAGCTGAATGGAAAACGAAGACCCAGGACTAGATCTGATGGTGATATGGAGGAGATCGTGTGACAAGGAAATGACAGTTCATAGGTAATCATACAATCAGCTAAAAGGAACAGTGGAGAACAGAGTGAAATGGAGATGTCTTTCTGAAGCTCTATGTTATACTCAGAACCCAAAGGAATCATAATCAATAATCATACGTTTCATCCAACAGGCACAAAATGGACTCACACAAAAAACTTGGAGGATCTAGACTTCGCCGATGAAATATGTCTGATTTCCCACAAACTGGAAGATATGCAAGTGAAAAGCAACAAGTTGGCAGAAGAAGTGTCCAGAGAAGATAGGCCTTCAGGTGAACACAGAGAAAACAGAGGTGATAAAGATTCCCGGCCAACAGCAACAGCAACAACAACAGACAACAACCAACATAAATGGAAGGAACCTGAAAGAAACAACCTCTTTTCCTAACGAAATGGGAAGCACCGTTTCAACTACAGGCGGACGGAACTGACGAGGATATCAAAGCAAGAATCGGGAAAGCAAGACAAGCTTTCACTTCTCTCAAGTCTGTGTGGAGGTCAACAGCACTCAGCATCAAAAATAAGATCCAGATTTTCAACTCCAATGTGAAGTCAGTGCTACTATACGGATCAGAGACTTGCACTGCGCGTCATGAAGAGCATCTCAAACAAACTACAGACCTTCATTAACAGTTGTCTTCGCTCAATACTCAAGATCAGATGGCCGGCCAGAAAAGATCAGCAACAGAGATCTCTGGCAATGAGCGAACCAACACAGCAGGAACCGATTGTGAAACAAATAGGCAGGAAGAAATGGAGATGGATTGGCTGGCATACTCTGAGGAAACCATCAAGTGACATCACTAGACAAGCCATTGCTCGAGTGGAACCCGAACGGGAAGCGGCGAGTTGGTCGTCAGTGCAAGGGTGACTTGGAGGAGGTCATGTGAAGAGGAGATGAAAACGTGTGGGCAGACTTGGAGCCAGGTGAAGACTCTAGCAGAGAACCGAACGCAATGGAGACGCACGGCTGAAGCCCTATGTTCCTCTAGGAATTAAAGGAAACAATAATAATAATACGTTTCATCCAACCTGACACATTTTACCATGAATGGAATAAGATGATCGTTATTGTTATTATTACTATTATTATTTACACGTTGTTAACGTGTATCATCTTATCCTTTAACTGATTTCAATCAATTTATTGATTTATGTTTACAGAGAATTGGATGAAGAGACGGGTGAAACTCAACCAACAGTAAGTTATTCATTTCGTTTTATCTCAGTGATTGCATTTACTAGCCTTATTATTATCTCTTCCTTCATGTCAATTTTGGCTTTCCTTTTTGGATTCTAACCCAATGACTGCTTCGTAAAATTGTAGATGCTTGGTATGATCCATCGTTTAAGTGGTGTGTGTGTGTGTCAACTGTTTAAGACTCCTGAACTTGATGAATAAGACAGAAATCTTCCATAGCCCTTTGGTCTCTCTTAGTTTTCTGATGGCGTTTGACCAAGATAGATACTAGGTTCGAGTCCCAGGGGTGAATACCATCACTCACTGAGGATTGCAGGTCCATTCACCCGGCTAACACGTCCCAAATAGAATGAAATGCAAATTTTAGATTCCAGTGCTATTCACCATCCACCAAATAACAGTATTTTTCCTTAATCTTCAACTTTTTGGCTGGTGACAAGAAATTTCGTCTACGACCAGGTCTAATGGTTTGCCCTTAATGACGTGGAGTGAATGTGTTTTATTGAAAAATAATCCGAAACTAGAAAGCATTAGCTGTTCAATGCTTTCTTTTTTTTTCCTCACGTTCCCCAGTGGAACATAGGGCTTCAAGCTAGTGGCTTGAAGTTTCTTTAGCAGTGTTTATTTTTACAGGAAGAGGTTGCTAGCCTCATGCCCAACCTTTCCTCTTTACCAGCATTATTTCTGGCTTAGCGAGGTAAAGGAGTGCGTCCAATGGCTGGGGATCGAACCCCGGACCATGTGCATGGTCGGCGAGCGTCCTAACCGCTATACCACCGACGCACAATGCCTTCTTAAATCGTATGAATATCTCAACGGTATCCATCTAGAGACGCTTCTACTTAGAAACAGTAATCTCAGCGAATAAATATTATTATTAACGTTGGTCAATAAATAGGCATAAACAGCATTCAAGCTGTATACAAAATAAACAATACGTGTTACAGCACAAGAATTATTAGCATTATATAGCTCATACCAAACAAACGAAAATAAGACGAATAACAGTCATAAAGTAAAACTATGAAATGATAATATTCTACAATTAAGCATCAGTAAAACGGTAATGGAGATCACAAAGTTTAATGAAAGATGTGAATGCCATTCTTTCTGAAGTAGGTATCTTGAATTTTAATCTCTTAAAATTAAGAATTTCTGTGAGATGTAGCAGACTTGAGTATACTTGCAATTTTTCTATTATACTATTGCTAAATACGTCTCAATTTCTATCTGATGTTTGCTTATATGACTACAAAAACTGTTTTCACCGCTTCTTGAGGCTGTTGTCAGCCTTTTATCAGTTTTCAAGTCTTTCTGAAGGCTGTACTCTCACTGGTGTATTTAGTGTTTGTCATGATTGAACTTGCGTTCTGGAGGTTATGGGTTATGTCCGGCCAGCGATGTTATGTTTGCTTGCTTTGTGCGTTTCTGTAGTCAAGTTGCTGAGTGCTCACCAGTCTCACACAAACACACACACACGGCCAGGGTTTGATTCTTCAGTGACAGACTTCTAAACCTCACTTAATCTACTAATCTATAGAAAGCCCAGAAAAAGAGGTGGTCTTATGTAAGGATAGCAACATCCCTCCCCCCCCCCTCTACGTGTGCTGGGAGAAAAAAGCTCAAAGTGTGTTTCAAGTATTGGTTTTGTGGGGATTTTTGTTTGATTGTATGGAGGATTTCATCATGAGCTGACATCATTTAGAGAACCACTGGAAAACCTGAGAGTACTGGACAGCTGTTTCGTCCTAGTATGGGACTCTTCGTCAGTAACTCATCGAAATGGTCGCACTAAGTCGTGAATTGACAGAATTTAGAATTCATGGGCTGGCCATTGGATCAGATACCAATGGCTCAATGGTCTACGAGCTCACCTTGTAACCAGAGAGTCCTGGGTTCGAACCCTGGTGGTGGGTGCGTACTGATGAAGAGTCCCAAACTATGACGAAACAGCTCTCCGGTACTCCCAAGTTATCCAGTGGTTCTCTAACTGATGTCAGCTCATGATGAAATCTTCCACTCAAATCAAACATAAATGTATCCTATGTCTGAAGACAATCTACGAGGAGAAGACTTCAATCTTGATTTCGAAGGAGGTGAATTTCTTCATTCATTGTTTAACTTCTTATATTATTGACTTTAATGTATTTAATTACCAGGTACCCATCCTACCTTTCAGTTACATACATTGTTAGTTCGAGACATTAAAAGAATTTTGGCAACCAGCTTGCTGTCCAAATTCCTTTCTTAGTTTAATAATATCCATCTAATATCATTTTATAAAATAATTAAAAATTTACTAAAGCCTCTTAGAATTATTATTATTATTACATTAAATTCTTCTGATTTTTTTTCTATTTAATTACATATGATATGACCGGTAGACACAACCTAGTGGTAGTAGTAGACTGTGTTCTATACGAAGTTAATGTGCTAACGAGAAATACCCCCAACAATGCCAACACTTAAATAAATAATAACATCACTATGGCACGCAATAACACGAAGAAAAGATGGACTGTGGCCAAAATGAAATCTTCTACTGTCTCAAATAACAGTGAAAACATTGAACAGCCCTACTGAATATACAATATATATATATATTAAAGGTTTTAATGACTTTGACAAATTAAATTCAATGCTACGTTTGTGCGTCGGTGGCATAGAGGTTAGGATGCTCGTCGACCATCCACATGGTCCGGGGTTCGATCCCCGACCGACGCACTCCTTTACCTCGCTAAACCAGAAATAAAGCTGGTAAAGGGGAAAGGTTGGGCATGAGGCTAGCAACCTCATCCTGTAAAAATAAACAATGCTACAGAAACTCCAAGCCTCTAGCTTGAAGCCCTATGTTCCACTGGGAACGTGAAGGAATAAAAAAAGAAAACTTTTAAGGAGTTAACAAGGCAATGAGGTTCAGGTCTTCACAAAGTGTAGGAAAATACATGAGTGAGCAATGAAGTCTGGGTGTGTAGGTCATTCTTACAATGAATTGTTGCGGTATATTTTGCTATCATGTTCACCTAATGAAATAGTATATTTTTCGATTTTATGAGGTATTAATTTTGACAACTACAGAGTTTTTCCTAATCTACAGAAGTAAATATTACTTGATAGTCACATCTAAGCAGCAGATTTGAAAATTAAAGATATATAATTGATTGGTTTGAGGATTTCATCATGAGCTGACATCAGTTAGAGAACCATTGGAAAACCTGAGATTATTGGACATCTGTTTTGTCCTAGTTTGGGCCATTGGATCGCGTCCCAATTGCTTAATGGTCTACGAGCTTGTCTTGTGACCGGAAGGTCCTGGGTTCGAACCCTGGCAGTTGGTGCGTACTACCGATGATTCCCAAACTAGGATGAGACAGCTGTCCAGTACTCCCTGTTGCTGGTTTTCAATAGTTCTCTAACTGATATCAATCCGTGATCATCTTGTAAAAACAAAACTAATCCTTACAAACCAACAATATGGAAAAAAGTAATATAGTTTGGTGAAGAGAAACAGTTTGATCATTGAGTCTTTATTCATCGAATCAACGCCAAACACATCCAGTTTAAATGATTCAACACTAATCTCACTAGAAAGAAATTGCAGTACAACTCCATCTGAAAATGTAAGACTATATAAACCAAGTTTGGAATCTGTGTGAATTTTTTTGTTTGAAACGTAATCCATTTATTAATTCTCAATCACTGTGTGGTATATGAGATAAACTTATCTAATATGGAATCAATATTCTACTACAGTGCTCAATTTCTGAACTTATCTCAATCACAGGCAAAAGTAAAGCCAACCTCTTCGGTTATCCTCAGTAAAATCGAGTCAGAATTAAGGTGTCACTTAAACCTAACTCAACGGATAAGCGCTTCTGGGTTCAATCCTTAATGTGTTGTCTGAGTGTCCACTACTGAAGTGTCTCAAACTACAAACGAAGTTTTTTTTCTGTTTTTAAGGATAATTTCCCACTTCTCATTGTTTATTGTTGATATTGAACTGAAATGTTTAGTCTCTGTTAACATGTCATCGCCTAGTGTGGACACCTTGAGGATATCTGAAGTTGAACATGATGTCATTTTGATTGGTAGCAGTCGAATCATCATTCTGCCTTTTTTAATTTTTTTTTAATATCCTTCACGTTCCCCAGTGGAACATAGGGCTTTAAGCTAGTGGCTTGAAGTTGCTGTAGCAGTGTTTATTTTACAGGATGGGGTTGCTAGCCTCGTGCCCGACCTTTCCTCTTCAGCAGCATTATTTCTGGCTTAGAGAGGCAAAGGAGTGCCTTGTCGGTGGCCGGGGATCGAACCCCGGACCATGTGCATGGTCGGCGAGCGTCCTAACCGGTATACCACCGACGCATCATTCTGTCTGAAATCCATCAAATGGATGCGCTTGAATTCTCAGTGAGTGATGGCATTCCAACCGAGACTCGAAACTCCCACCCATTGTTCTTAACATTCAAATGAGTAGTTTCAAAAATAGGTTGAATTCCCCTGCTGGGTGTCACCAAGTGAAATGAGACGAAATAGGTGTTCAGCACTTGTTCGCTTCGAGAGATTTTTCTAAGTCATATTGTGGTGAGAGCTGGCTGCTAGCCAAAGTTCGTAGACAGTAATTGACGTCAATGTTTATGTCCCCAATATTGGTGGTGAGAAAATGAGAACAAAGGCTTTGCGTAGGCGGATACAGTTAGCATATGGATGATCTGTTGCCTGGCCCTTGTCTTCTGTTGTTACAATATCACTTCGTGAAGGTATTCACTCTGAAATCAATCAAGTCTTCGTTAATGAATTACATAATGTTAGCTAAACTTATGCATTCCTGCCTTACCAGTTATCAACTAATCAAATAACACCTTACCTTTATTTATTAAACTTGTAAACAGCTGATGTGTGGCAGTAATGGGATCATACTGAACTGTATAGCATCAAAATTTGTTAGATGGATATACACGATACTTAACTTTCATTGATAGCGAAATGATAAACAAAACTAT